ATGGCTGCTTGCGTCTTGCGTCTTGTTCTGTTATGACACTGGGCTGCGGATGGGCTGCATTGTACACCCACCAGCTTGGAGGCACTTCTGGGTCCCTCATAGTCTAAGAGATGACTGCCTGTTTGCTCTTTGGTTGAACAAAAAAGTATGTTTTTCTAACCAAAAGAATGGAAGACAGGAATGTCCTTGTAAAAAAAAAATCTGTTTCATCTTATTGCACTGTGGATGGTTCTTCTTTACTCCTAAAAAAATACATTCATGTATATAGACTGTACAGTTTGTTAACTTCTTCCCTCCTTGCCCACCGGTGATGCCAGCTGAACTCCCAGACTCCTCTGAAATTGCTCTACTTGACCACACTTAGCTTTGCTGCCCTGTCCTGCCTACCTCGATCAGATTCCTGCATGAGAAGTGAATGTCCCTTCATTTGAAGGCCATTAGTAGGCACTCTTGAGCTCAGACGTAACAAAAAAATAACGAAATGCAACATTCCCATCCCATTCTCTCTTCCCATATAGGCTGAATGTGCTTTATATAAACACACTCATCTCTTAAGTTTAATTTCTGAGAAAACTGACTTTAGCAGCCAGTCATATTGGAGTAAAAAAAAATTGGCTTTGGATGGTAGTTGTTTACTACTGTAATTCTGAAGCAGCTTGTGGTCTTAGCTGCTACAGTGAACTTCCATGTTTCAGGGCAAAACAGATGATGTTTTTTCAAAGTGATTAGTGAGATTGAACCTAGTTTTTGCATCTCATATGACCCCTATTTTCAAAATACTGTTAAAACTAGGTCTCTTGAAGAGGTCTCAAGTTCTTTATTCAGTTACAAAAGTCTTGGGCGGTTATGCGACTCTCTATCATCTCAAAAATATTTAACTCAAATTCCAGAGAATGAGAAGACATCTGCTTACCCAGCATGTACTCATTTTCCACGCCAAAAGTTTCTATTTGCCCTGGAAACTCTATCCAGAGAGGTCTGTAGAGAGAAAGATAGTGGGATTCAGTTAGTTTCTCCTCTCCCATCAGCCTATCCAAGGCCTTCTGGCATGTTCAGGCTCAATTTTCTCCCTCTCTTTACAAGGTACAGCTATCAAGAACTGAAGATAGGGCAAGGTCCTCTTCTGTGCCTTAAAGTACCCCTTTTGAATCACTGATGAGATTCCCAGTACAACATGGGTTAAGACACTCCAATACACCTATGGCTTGGCCTCCTGCAGCCTCACTTTCTTCCCTCCTGGCTTCTTCCTTACAAACTTGCACTACATATACCTTCTTTCTAGTAAAGGGGAGATGGATGAGCCTTTCTGTCACAGTCCGCCAGCAATGCTAACACCTGATGAGCTACTCTCTGCAGCGCAGTCCTTCCTGTTCTCAGCAGCTCACTACTGCTTTTATAGCATGTGTCCTCCCGGTCATGACTGAAGAACCTGCACTAGAAGTCCATATTCAGTCTTTCTCAAAAAGGGGCAGTGCAATAACCATCTGGTTACAGAACAGGAGTTGTATATTTAAAAAGTTTGAGAGATTATGACAGTAATATTTCATTCGGAGAAAAGGTCTGGGTTTCCTTACACAAAAAGCCTGGTTCACCTGCTTACTTACAGGCATCTACTTGTTCACTGCAGCCCTGCTGTTCACGTGCTTGCTAATGAGACACATTTTCCACTCTGCTTGTCTCAGTGAGAAAAATACCATGCTTCCTCTCTAATTCTGTACCTACGGCAGCAAATTTAACATAATCGACGTTTTATTTAGTATTGTGGGCAGTGCACATGTCAACATAAGCTTCATTTCAAGAAAGACAGAAACCTGCTGTCTATGTCAGTGCATACAACAGGAGCGTCTACGCCTACACATGTGCAGACAGATGCTCACACTATGTCTGTAATGCAAATCATCTTCAAAACTCAAACCACTCAAACCACTCAACCCTTTTCAAAAAGACCTTAATGTTTTTAAAAATTAAGAGATGTATTGTATTCGCATAAGAATAGGTAAATGTGGTGCAAAAGGATAGTTCTAGGGCAACCCCAAAGACACAGCAATACCAGGGAGATTAATGACATTCATCTCTTGCTGAAAGGGTTAGAGAGAAGCAGAACAAAAGTTTATTTTCTAATTTCATTTCTGTTCTAATTATTAGATTCTCTACTAAAAGAAAAATGATAAGAAATACTGCAGAGATAAATGATCAAATTATCAATATGAATTAAGCTTTTATAACAATAACAATTCAGCAGTAACAAATATTTTCATGAGGGGACTTTATGTTTTTAGGTCAGCAAGTTCAGAGTCCATTAAGCGCTGTTTTAAGTGGGGGTTGGAAAAACCCCAAAAAGTATAATTTCCCCTGAGAACCCTACCAAATTTGCAGAATGCATGAAAATAGAATTCAGTAAATTTTGTGGGTTTTTTTCTTTTTACTATTTAAATAAATAATCACAATAGTATGAGATTGTAATCTAACTTCCCTCCTCCAAGTAACTTCCTGAAGATAATCACTAAACCTCCTGACTTACCTCATAACCGGTTCAGCCGCTGTGTGTGCCCGATAGAACAGTGTGTATAAGTATGGCAGGAGGACGTAGCGCTCTCTAATGGCTTCCCTGATGATCTGGGTGTTCTTCTCCCCAAAGAGCCACGGTTCTCGCCGTTTGCTCTCCATGTTAGAATGACCTCTGAAGAAGGGCTGGTAGGCTCCAGCCTGATACCAGCGAACAAGTAATTCTGGTTCTGGATCTCCAATAAACCCTCCCACATCAGCTAGATATTGCGCAGACAAATAAAAATACACATTTTTGGAAATTATTCTGAAAAGTGTGAAGTTCTCCTCTAACAAACATTCCAAGTGTATAAATCCATGCATTTCACAGTGTGATTGCAATTCTGCTGCTGGGCAGCTGCTTGTCCAAATAAGAGTGGAAAATTTGTGTAACAAGTTATCCTTTAGTAAAAATCTCAAGAGAGCTTTTGGAGGCTGAGTGCTTTCCCCAGTGACAGAGGATTGTCATAGTGATGCTGCGGAACACCACCTGAGGATTACTGCTCCAGATGGAACGTAAACACTATGTAAGAATTAGTGGAGAAATGATGGTCAGCACCAGGTAATTGGCTTCTGAAACCAGCCTAATCTGTGAAACTGCCTGGAAATGCACTGGACTGTTGAGCTTTCCACCATCTGTGTTGAAGTCTGCCTTGGGATACAAGCTTGGTGGCACCAGTGATTTATACATAGTGAGCAACTCCAGCTAAACACCTTACCTCCACAGAATGAAATCCCTGCCATGCTGATGGTGAGAAGCATTGGAATGGATATTTTCAAGTAACCCCACTCTGCCGTGTTGTCTCCAGTCCACACTGCCCCTGGAAATACCCAGTTTCAGCATTATACAGGAAAGTTGGGCCTATGCTTCAGCTTATGCTTGCAGTTAAGGAAAGAAGACAAGAATGGTCATGAACTACTGGTGAACTGCAACTTTTTTTTCTTTATGTATGCACGCTCCTGAAATAGGCAGCAAAAGCAGGTAGTGGTTTGTCTCAGGACACAGGTTGTTGTTCTGCCTTTAACTTGTACACACTTTGCCAGCCTCTCCTGATTTTCTTAATACTTGCACTCTTATGAGCTCACCATGTCAGTATTTTTAAGACAGTTTCTGTCCTCTCTAGACTTAACTACTATACACTGAATTTAATAGAACAAAGCAGCATGGAAGGCATCCAGCTAGTCCATCCTTACCATACTTCTGTGATCCAGCAAAGAAAGATCGTGTGAGGACAAACGGTCTCTCTTTTCCTGAAGAACGTCTGATGAGTCCTTCTGCAGTTGCCATTTGCTGAAAATCATTAATATAAAAGTCAGGAAGACAAACACTATAATTAGGATATTTGGTGCACTGCCTTTTAGCCCTTCCAAGGCAGGAAAATTAAGAAATCTGTACTCACCTGTTATTAAAACAACACTTGCTTACTAGGATATACTTGAACAAAAAAAATTATTAATATTGTGTGGTCACAGCCAATGCCATTGACATTGTTATGGTAGAAAGGCATGGATAGTCACATTTTCTTGTGACCAGTCACAGAGTTTATTTCAAATATAGCAATATCCATCACAGCAGAGTTTCAGTCCTTGATGGAGGTTACAGAATACCTACTACTGTGAAAATTACCACATTAGACATGCTCTAGACATGCTAGTTTGTGTCTCCAGATACTCTACCTGGTAGAATCCGTAGAGGTTGTGTACTTCACGATGCTCCCAGTTGTTGTAGTGCACAGCATCTTTCTGCATTGTTAGTTCTGCTCCTTTGAAGACTGAAGGCTCATTCATGTCATTCCATACAAAGAGGATATTAGTGGATCCCTATAACACAGTTTTGCAATGAAGACATAACAGAATCATTGCTGTGACTTAATGTGTTTCTCTCTAGTGAGTGTCAGACCAGTCTGGGGTATGAGAAGAAACAGCAGCAGCAAAGCAAGACATGGTAATTATACCCCTGTGGTCACTTGAAAGCTGCCAGTCATTCATCTCATCTCTCTTGGTGGCCCTTCTGGTCAGGGTGGCAGCCTACAATCCCACCTGATTTTTGCAATTCTTACAAAACTTAGTAGTTACTTGCTATTTCTGCCTTCTAGTGTGGGAAAAGAGGCAGGGAAAAGAGAAGTATTCAATAACTATGAGGAAAAAATCAGAAAAGGCCAGAAGATAAAAACTGGAGAGGAAAAGCAGCATGAGAAATGTCTACTGTACATGTCTACTAGAGGAGTGGTGTCAACAACCCCACTACAAAACAGAACTCGGGGCTGGGGGGGAACTGGACGTGTCCAGCAGTCTGGAAGGAAGGTCAGCGTGAAGTGCCCGTGAGCTATGAGAGAGCACTCCCACATCACTCCTTATGTGCTATCATGGTAGTAAAAGCTGGAATTGCAGCAGCTGTGTTAGATTATGGGTTGCTAAAATGCCTGCAGTTTGTCCATCCTACTTCTAAAACTAAGTGAGCAGGTTCACTGGTGGCATATGGATTCCAACTTTCTTAGTATAGACTTGTCCATGGAGAAAATGATTACGTGGTCCTTCAGTTTATCAAGATATTTTCCCCTAGGTTATGATAATACAGCTACAAAAGCCACCAACTTGCTTAACCAATAGTTTATCTTCTCTCTTTTCCCCATTTTCAGGCTTTCTGGCATATGTAGATTGGAGCAAATAAATACACACCTTGTATGTTTTGAAGGCAAATTGATCTGCATACCATCTTCGCACTTCAGGATTGGTGAAATCCAAGTAACAAGAGGAACCTGTGGATGTGGGAGATCCCAATTATTTACCTGATTTTAAAAGCATGCATGCATCATCTCTGCACCTAAATACAGAGGCCTAAAGCTAGGATGCTTTTCACAATGGGCAGCAATAATGTGGCCGCTATTGTTTCTGAGACAAAAGCTCAAGAGCAAACTCCAGGTTGACTTGGAACTCAGTACATCCCTTGCTATGTTCTGCAGATGAACACGTGTGGATTCTGAAGGTCTGAAGCTCAGCACCATATAAGGATGGCTGCTAGCAGTTTGAAATATGTTCAGATGTGAATAGGAAGTGAGGGAGAGACAGCAGCCCTGGTATTCTGAGCTCAAACAGGGAAGTGTCACTGAGAAGCTGAATAACTACATCCTGCCATGCTGCTAGAAGTTGTAATATGTTCTTGATTTTTCCCATATTCATTCCTTTGCCAGGATTGTGGGCTTTCTGTCTGCAAAGAAGAGGGGCAACCTCCTTTGCCTCCCCACAGTGAGATTTCCTCATGGAAAATAACATGTCAAATCACTGTATAATGATTGAATTAAAGTCTTCAGTATCAGGGTTCACTTAATTTCATCCAGCCTACATAAGCTGTGCTCACTGCAACAGACCAGACTGCATTTCTGTTACCTAAGACAAGTTGGGAAGAGGGATGGCTGTTCTGATCAACAAATCCAACCTTTTTAGCTCTAGGCACTGGGACTATCTGCAGAGCCAACAGACATAATGGTGGAAGTTGTACAGCTGAGGCAATTAGAACATGACTGTACCAAAGAAACCACAAAGTATTTGAAATTATGAATAGTTACAAAAAAGGCAAGGAATGTAAGAATTTAATTCCAAGTCCATGGGTCCCAATTAAACAATTCTGCAAAATTTTTACAATAAACATCTTGAAATGTAGAGACAGAGTGGTTTTTTACCTGGCCAACAGATGCCCTCAAAATCTTGCCCATTTCTGTCTTTCACAAAATATCCCTTGTCTTTTGCCTGTGAATACAGGGTGTACATAGGATCAACCTTAATGTGGGGATCTACAATGACGACAAGCTGCCAGGATACCAAAATAAAATACATCATTAGTGTCAACTGTACTGAACAAAACAGTAAAAGTTCACTTTTGATAAAAGGCAGATAATGATTTCACTTCAGGTAAAGAAGGTAGCTGTGCCACTAATTTTAGAAAGCAGTTACCAGTTGTTGTATATACTGTGCTACACTTATGTATAATAGCTGAATTTACAAGGAGGGCACAGATTCATACTTACCCCTCTGCAATAAGGGCCAAAAAACATTGTTTCAGATAAAAGCAAGTACCCCAACCCCTAAAAACATTGCTGTATTCTGTAAATGGGAAGATACCTGACTTCCATGTTCATGTCCCTGCTTAAAATCATTTGCCTTAAGACATTTAAATATATCTTACTTTGTATAGCATACAACAGCAATGGAGGTTTCTAATTTTTTTTAAACATCCATGTATTGTATTTTGCAGTTACTTTCTGCTGCCATTAACTACCTTGCTCTAAAGCTGAGAAAGTACTATAGCTCCAATGAAGAGATTATAAAACTTGAATGCTATTTCAGCGGTCCCTGTGTATTGACTTTTGGCAAAGACCAAGCATTAAGCACTTCTACAACTTTTAGATATTAGCTGTGTACATTTTAATACCTCTGTAATTCCAAGGAAAATACTTTAGCTGTAAAAGCAGAAATAAAGACTAACTGAGCTAACAGACTGCACATCAGACCAGGATGTCACCAGAAGGAAAAAACCATTTAGTTTATGGTAAGTAATCTTATCAACATAAAGGACAAATCTCAGTATAAGCAGAAAATAAGTAGCATTATTAATACAAAGAAAAGCTGAAGTGAGGATAGCAACTATCAATGGTGAAAGGTCATGTTAAGTAGAAAATTTTCTACTGTGCCCATCAAGGGCAGGACTGGGCTGCTTCTGTAAGATGGAGCTTCACATGGGTCAAACTTAGCCTGCTGGTCAGAGTACAGAACTATGAAATAATAAAACAGCAGGAGTAACTGAATTAAACAAAATAGCTGGTGCACTGGAAGCACCACCAGACCGCAACACAGTCTGATTTACTCTGTTGTAGTTAAACTGTTTCCCGTATCTGAAGTACCTTGGTTAAAGCTAGATTGGGTAGCTTCACACCACAAAGAAATACTTTCTTCCTGCTATATTATTTACCTTGCGCTTTTTCTTCCTGAGATGTTCTTGCATCTTTCTGGGGTTCTGGAATTTCTTTTTGTCCCAGGTAAAATACCTCTTGCCATCTGTGTGCTCTATGTCCAGCCATATCACATCATAAGGAATGTCATGTTCATCAAAGCCAGCATCTACTGCCATGACATCTTGCTCATCCTCATAATTCCAGCGGCACTGATGGTAGCCCAGAGAAAAAAGAGGGGGCAGGGCTTGAGTGCCTAGGAAGAGTATATGAATGAGGATAACACTGTTAATGCCCTTCAGGATTTTATCTAGAGACTCTAGAAAAGCTAACATGATTAATATATGTCTGTCTGGAGCTAGGGAATGCAGACCTAAGTCGAGTCTAGAGCGTGTTCTTCATACCAAAGTGACCAAACTCTTGAAATTACAAACATTACACAGGCTCAACAGCCAGCAAGAGCAGAAGGCTGTAATGATAATACAAGAGTGAGAAGGAACTTGCTGTTCCATGATGCTGAAGTGTTATTCCAGTAACCAATACAGATTTATTCTTTAATTTTTTCTAATGTAAAAATATTGCTTAATATTAATGCTTAATAAATTAATATTCAAATTAATAAAAACAATTACATAGATTTTAATCAGTAGAATGCAATTCCCGTGACTGCTTGAATCTGAGTAATGTAAACAGGCCCACAGGTGCTACAGTACAAGGAGAACCATAGAATTGTAATTGTTAGGGATCTTTAAAATTAGAAAACACGTATGTATGTATGCATTTGGCAGAAGGGAGCTGGGAAACTTTCTCAAGTGTGCACTTCTGCTTGGCGAGACCCTCTTGTGATCTGGCTACTTTCATATTCCTGTTCAGCTGAACCACATTCTCTCTACAACATCTGTGGAGGAAACAATCATTGCTAACACACTGAAGAAGTACCAGGAACATTTCTGTGCTTTTAATTCTCTTTAGTACATAAAGAATTTTTCTTTCGTAAAATGTTAGTCCTCTTGCCTCCATGTTTTTAGTCTCTTCCTGAGCCTCTTGCTTCTTTCCTTTCCCATATCTGCCTTCCCTAATGGACACACTGGACAGTTACCTATCTTCTTTCTCTACTCTCCAGGATACATTACTCCATAACTTCAGTCTTTTCTCATTAGGAGGTGGCCTCTCTTGATGGTGACTGGCAGTTCTAGCCCCGTGTCTCCTCTCTTCATCTAAGGGAGCAGGTTCAGATCGCAGTAACTATGCTGGCTTCTCAATTAGGGCCAAGTTTGACCAGCTACAGATACTAGGGAAAACAAGGATGGGGGTCTATCTTCACAAAGCACCAGCCTTTGCTCTACAAACTGCAGTTTGGGAACAGTTGGCCTCCTGCACACAATGGGCTAGGTAAATATTAACCCACTCTTGGGTACAGCACGTTCCTCAGAGAATCTTCCAGGTGAATGTGCCATACTGACTCCAATTATGT